TTACCCGAGTTATTTGCCATGTAGTGTGTCTGAGGTGAATTAAGCAGGAAATGAATTTTCAAATTTTCATACTTAAACCCGTTTTATTTACCGTGGGTTGTGACTGAACGGTAAATCGAGTAGCCTAAGCTATATTGGTAACCAAGTAAACTAGCTTATAGCTATTTGGTTAGCTTGTAAGCTTCATGTATTCAAATAAGTTTCGTTTGGTAGGACGATTATTTTTATTTTTATTTTTTTTTAAAAATTTCGAGCTTATCTCATTTCTTAGGCTAGCTTTTCAAATAAGAATTTTTTATTTCAGCTAATTTTACAGAACACTTTCATCATAAACACTAGTTTGTCAGCTATAAGTCATAAGCTGTAAGTTCGAAAATTACTTATAAACTATCAGCTAATCTATCAGTTAGTTTTACCAAACATAGTCGAGATGAAAATATAATTGATTGTTTTTAGGTTTTTGCCTGTAATTTACCAACGTGATGCAAAAATAAAAAATAAATAAATTATCCGGCTTGGCTTTTTTTTAATTTTTTCAGAAACTCCATATCCAAACAACATGCAGATGGTCTTCATATACTCGGCATTTGTGAAGGGAGACCAGACGTACTTTGACATAAACTCGTCTGGCGGAGAAGAAGGAACTGAGTTGTATCCACATATCAAATACACCACGATAAACGAGTACTTAGATACACTGTTGTAAAAATGGTGTCTTCATATTTTTTTTTTTGGTTCTTGATTTTTTCTGTGATTTGGGTTGAGCAAATTGTTCCATTGTATACACTTTTACAGTAACTGTTATGTTGATTATGCTGGAATTGGGATTTATTTATTTATTTATTTATTTATTTATTTAGATTGTATTGCATGTTTTGCAGCATTTGTGTTTTTTGCCATGAATCACTATGCATTTTGTTTGACCAATTTGTAATTGTTAGGATCAATAATAATTGAGGGAAATGCTACGTTCTGGTTACGGAACCATTCCGTCGGTCGGGGATTGTTGATCTAACGGTTATAAATTCAGACGAAATGGTTTCGCGACGGGACGGTAGCATCTCCCAATAATTTAATGGATAAACATATTTTACTTAAATAAATGGGACTGCTCTTATTATAATCAATATTTTTGGCTGCATCCACTTTTGGGGTCAAACTTGCGGCAAAATAATTTAATGGGTAACCTTTGCAATTTGGGGATTAAATTTTTTTTGTAATTTTCTCTCCATTTCGTCAATTAGATACATCGGAAAATTAATCGTTCCGAAAAAATGGCCGGAAAAAGTAAGATTTTGATAATCGGCGCCACCGGACACATCGGAAAATTCATCGTTCAGGCCAGTGCCGACGCCGGCCACCCGACCTCCATTCTAGTCCGAGAGTCCACTCTCTCTAACCCCGCGCCTCCGAAAGCCGATCTAATCAAACGCTTCAGAAATTCCGGCGTCAATTTCATCCTCGTGAGCTCAATTCTCACTGTTCTGTTCATTCAAAAATCCGATTTAATTTGTTTCTGGCGTTCAATTTTACTGGGACTATTAATTATTAAAAAAAAAAAATTCACAGTCATGGAATTCGAGTTGGAATTTAGGGTTACTGCGAATTCGATTATGGAACTTGTTGTTTTTTATTTATTTATTTATATATTTATATTTGGCTTTGTGTAGGGAGATTTGTACGATCACGAGAGCTTGGTGAAAGCTATAAAGCAGGTGGATGTAGTTATATCTGCTGTTGGCTATGCTCAGTTGAGCGATCAACACAAGATTCTAGCTGCTATTACGGAAGCTGGAAATGTGAAGGTAAAACAACTTTCTACTTAAACTTGAAGCTAATCGATTCGTACGAGTCTTCTCAAATTCTTGTTACGCTTTAAAATCCGAGATGGGTTAACTGTTCGGGAGTAAGATTCGTATGCGGAATAGTGTGGAGAATGTTGGAAGAGTTGAAAATGGATTTCGAAAGTTGGATTCATTGAGATCAAATTAAGTGCAATTGTTGAACAATCAGTAGCTCGTTCAGCGAAATGACTGTTCCTTGTGTTTATGTTTGGTAAACCTAGTTGATAAGATGACGTAGCGCAGACGAAAGGAACAAGAACAAGAGATAAATCTCAAGCAGATAAAATTCTTATTATTCTTCAACCGTTGTTCCCATCAGTTTACACAACATAAATAGACT